CCTCCTCGGAAAGCCGGGGGAGGGGGTCACCCTCCCCAGTCCGGGCCAAGGAGGGCTCCCCCTCTGCGGCTCGGGACCCACCCGGTGCGGGAGGGGAGGCGAAGCCGGGCGTGGAGGACCCCCCGAGGGTCATCGAGGAGCGGAGCGTCGGAGGCAGCCAGCGCAAGCGGATCGCCGTCATCCGGCACCACGTGGAGGCGGCAGGCGGCCAGGTGGGAGGGACCGCGCCCAAACCCCGCGCGCGGCGCGGCATGGGAGTCATGGAGGTGCCCTGTGTCCACGCGCGGGTGGCCCCCCACACTCTATTCGTCGGGGCCAACGGGGCCTCCCGCTACATCTGCTGCCACCTCTGCAGGATGGGGGCAGGCGCGCACCTGGTGGTAGCCAAGAAGCAGACGGAGGAGATTTGGAGGTTCCTGGTGATGCGCCTGATCTTCACCGCGGAGGGGCGCAGGGCGCGGGCCAAGTTTCCAGATCCGTGGAAGACGAGACTTACGGAGGCCCCCTTGCCCCCGCCCCCAGACAGTCGCCTCGTCCGGCTGGTAATCGGAGAGGACCGAGACCCTGCCTTGGTCGCCGACCCTCGCGACCCGAGGCGGCCAGTCCAGACGAGGGAGCGTGCGGGAGCCGGCGCACTCACGCAGCGGGTATCCGCCTTCCTCGGAGGACTCTGGCCCGCGGGGCCCCAGGAGGAGGACGAACCCCCGCGGAACCGCCGGGCGGTCGCGCACCGCGACCACGCCACCCTGCCCGTCCCCGAAGGCGTTCCCGGCCACCTAGACTGGGGCGACAAGACCTTCCTCGCCCTCCTCCGGGAGTACCCCGAGCGGTGTCGCCAGCTCCGCCGCCGCCGGCAGGAACCCCGCCTCCACGCGCTGCACAAGTTTCGGGATTGGCTGCGGGAGGAGTCTGCCTCGGGGAACCCCTTTGGAGGGGAGCCAGTCCCTCTGACCCCAGGGGGGGAGGAGACGGAGGACGACCCGGCGGACTTCAGCCCGGTCGGGCAGGAGGCCTCAGGATGGACGGTGGAGGGAGCCTCCGAGGCGCTCCTCGCGCCCCGCCTGGAGCCGGACACCAACCCGCAGCTCTTGGTCGCGGTCGACACCGCCAACGGAGGCATGACGTTCCATGGGTCCGACTTCCGGGTCAAGTACCTGCGGGTCGCCCGCACCCTCGGACTCGACTTCATAAGAGGCCTCCGGGTGGACGAGGAGCCCCACCTGTTCCCGGGACTCGGGCAGGGCAGCGCCCAAGCGCGCCGGGTCTGGAACTTCCGCCTGGCGGCGAACGGGAGGGAATACACCGTCCGTTCGGCGGAGCTGCTTGGTGCCGACCTCCGGGACATGGACATGACCCTGGGGGTCCCAGACCAGCAGTACCTCGGGATGGACATTCTCCACTCGCAGGGGGTTATCGACCTCTGGGGGCTTGGCGCCCGGGGGCTGCCGATCGTCCAAAACGCGGCAGTCCGCGTCTGCTACACGGCGACCCTGCCTGCCCCCTCTGGGGGCCTGCCTGCTCGCCCCGGACAGTGGAAGGCCTGGCGGGGCCCGACCGCGGAGAGCCTGACCCTCTACCCCTTCCCCGAGGGCGGAGCCCCCTCGGGAAGGGGGGGCGCCCCCGCAGGCGCGACCGAGGTGGCGGGGGCCCCTCCCGCGCGCGCTATGAACCCCCTGCATCAGGAGGCCGTGGCGCAGATGCATAGGGGCCTGATGGCTATGGGCCGACCGGAGGAGGCCGCCCTCATGCTCAGGCTGATCCTTCAGGATGAGGGACCGCCCCCTGATGCGGACGCGGAGGACGGGGTCGGCGACCCCCGGACCCACACTCGTGGGGGGCCGACCCTGGTCGCCCGGGGGGTGGAGAGGTCCCAAGCCAGGACGACGGAGGGGTGGGCGATCCGCAACTTCCAGAGGGGCGGGGAGTGGCACTCCAAGTTCTGGCACGACTTCGTGCGGAGGTGCGGGTGCAGCGACTTCGACCCCGACCGGGCCCCGGGCGTTGCCCGCGCCTTCCTGTCCCAGGTGGGGGATTACGGGTCCCTGGCGCTGCAGCTGGACAACGAGGAGTGGGAGGATCTCCACACCCAGGTGCGGGACCACATCGCGGACTACCCCCCGGACCCCAGGTCGAAGCAGTACCTGCACCGGCAGCCCGCGGAGGTGGCCCGGAGGGTCCTGCGCGACTGGCGCCCCTCCGACCCCGGGATGACCCGGCACGACAATTTCGCCAAGTACTACACGGGCTTAATCAACCAGAAGCGGGAGGAGGTGGTGGAGGAGATCCACCAGGCGGCCTATAGTGATTACTTGGCGCGTGTCGCCCCCCCCCGGAGGGAGCCCACCGCGTGGGGGGCCCCCCGGACCTCCGGGGGAGGGACCGCGGACCCCGGGCGGAGCGGGGAGGGCCAGGCCCAGGAGCCCCCGCCCGAACGCCCCCGACCCTCGGGGGGAGCCCCTTCCGGGGCGAGGTCCAGCACGGACGGCCCCCCTCAAGAGGGAGGAGGCCCGGCACGGGCGCGCCTGGCCGAGGAGCCAGCGGAAGGCTGGGAAGCGGCCCTAGGGGATGGCCGCCCAGGACGCCCCGCCCCCCCGCCCAAAGGCGGGGGCCCGAAGCGGAGGCCTCCGGAGAGACCCGCACCCGCCCGGGAGGGGGAGAGCAGGAGGGGGCTGGGCCCGAGGGCCCGCCACATTGACCTGCTGCCAGGCGCGCGGGTGATCTACCACAGCTCGACCTACGACACCTACGTAAACGAGCGCGGAACGACAATTCCGACTACTACGACCTGGACGTCAAGCCCTACGCCCACATCGCGGATCTACCTCCCCCCGCCGCCGCCGCGCGGAGAGGGGCCCCCGGAAGCGGATGCGCGCGCGACGGTGCCAGACTGCAGCGTGCGCAACAGGGATCCCCCGCCATCCCAGGCCCCCGGCGGGGGAGGAAAGGGGGAGGGAGGCCCGGCAACAGGTGCTCCGGGGAGAGGGGCGCCCAGCGGGCCCGGGGGTGCCCCCTCACCGGCGGGGCCCCCACCCCCAAAGGAGGGGGGCCACGGGGCGACGGCAGGGGGTGGCGCGCCAGCCCAGGGCGCGGGGGGCTCAGCTGCGCCGCACAAGGCCGCCCCAGCGTTCCCGGCAGCCGGGGCGCCCGCGCCGGGCAGCGGAGGGGGGGGCACGGCGCCCGCAGCGGGCGCCGGGGCCCAAGGCGCCCCCCCGCCCCCGGCGGAGCCCCCTCCACCTCGGACCGCGTGCGTGATCGCGACCATGCGGGGCCCACAATTCCTCGGTCTTGGCCCTGGTGGAACGCCGCTCGGATGGGCCCCGCTCCCTGGTGCACGGGGGCGAGCGGTGCGGGGAGACGTCGGCCGTGGTTACCGCTTGGAGGGCCCTGGACGAGCAGCTCGGGGTCGCCCTCGCCCCGTCCAACACCGTCCCCCACGCCTGGGAATGCCCGCAGCACCCTGCGGAGGAGACCCCTGGGGCTGCTTACCCCTACGCCCGGCGGCTCCACTCCACCCAGGACAGAGCCTACTACTACCACTACCATTCGGTACAAGGGAACCTGCGGCAGTGGAGGGACACGCCGGGCAGGGAGTACGTCCTACCCTGAGGTCTCATAACGTCCAAATTGGACGCCAGAATGCTGGCGTCCAAATTTGGACGCCGACGTCCAAATTTGGACGCCATGACATACGCATTGCATATGATAGTATGTAGTAGCTTATTGTTATGTGTTGCTACGTGCTCCGTTCAATGCTTGTGTTGTTATGTTATGTTAGCGCCATGCGGTTCGTGTGCCTGTACGTGTTTTGAATGAGGACCACAGCAAACGTCCAGTGCGTATAAAGCTATCGCAGCGAATATAAATCAGATTTGCAGCGTGCGGGATGGACTGGGATGGTGAGAACTGTATCCTTACAACCACGAAACAACATAAATGACGAGAGGCCCGAAGAGAGAACACCGAATATCAAATGCCATCATGGGCAGAATCAGGGGTTCCTAGTGAGCGCGTGAAGAACACAAAAACAGAGGAGGAAGATGAGCAGGAGGAGGAGGAGGGGGCGGAGGGGGGGGGGAGGGCGAGGAGTGGACGGAGGAGGAGAAGAGAGAGACAAGGAAATAGAGATATAAAGAGAGGGATACAGAGAGAGAGAGAGAGAGAGAGAGAGAGAGAGAGAGAGAGAGAGAGAGAGAGAGAGAACAAAAAAGAGAGAGTGCAGGAGAAAAGGATGAGCTTGACCATGCGCGGAGATCTCTCCTCGAGGAGGGGGAGGACTACGAGGCCACATCCTGCGAATTCTTGACGCTTCGCGTATCCCCACCAGCCCATCCAGAAAGATCGGCAGGGGGGCTGGTGAATCAGGGACGGCAGGACGCATGCAGTCGTGCAGCCGTCTTCGAGAAAACAAGGATCCCACATAGCTTCCAGCGTTGAAGTTTAAGATGGAAATCCGTGCAAGCTACGATGGTGCTTCGATGAGGGGTGAGGGGTGCTTCGATGACTCAATGGCTGTTGCACTGATTTGTATGTTAAATTCGCGTGCGTTCCGTAACTTGGAGGCATCTTGGGGCTCAACTTGGGATTATCGTGGGCCCCTCCTGGGGCCTCCTGGGGCTCTGCCTTTGGGCTCTCCTGAGATCCTTTTAGGGCCTTCTTGGGGCATATGTGTGCTCTGTTTGGGCGTCTTGGGGCTCTTTGGTGGGGCCTGGGGGCCTTCTTGGGGCTCGGCTGGGATGCCCGAGGGGCCTCTTGGGCCGTCCTGGTAAACCTCCCAAGCAGGGAAAGGAAGGCGGTCGGAAAAGGACGCGCCCTAGACCACCCGCGCCCAGAGGGCTGGTGGGATTTCTCTGGCGTCATCAAGCCGTTGTCTTCCATCCTCAGCTGCCTCCTCTTCACCCTCTTCTCTGAAGCTTGTTTGGCTCATGCTCGTCGAGTGGCTTGGGAAAATGCCCAAGGAGAGCTGTCTCACTCCTCTCGGGCGCGCGTTCGCGAACGCCCAG